AAATGTTCCCGCTAAAAAAAGGGGGGGAAGATTTATTTATTAAATTAAAAAAATTCATTACTATTATTTTAATTTGCTACCGGGCACATGCACTCACCAGAGAAAGAGAAAACAAGCTGCCAGGTCCAGGTCTTGAACCGTGGTCAGCCATGTGGGAGCCCAGCACCCCAATCACCACACCACCTGCTAGCGCCCTTTCCTAGGCTTGTTTTCCCCTTCCCTGACTATCACAGTGGTCAATAGAAGAAACTGCATTAATTTGAAAGCTGATGGAGCTGAAATGAGACACAGTGGGATTGAATCCTGGCTCTGACACAGCCCGGCAACCTTGGGGAAGCTCCTTAACATCTCTGAGCCTTGATATCCTCATCTGCAAATAGCGAACAGAATTCTGACTTTGGTAAATTTGTATGAAAGTATTTCGAACTGAAGATTCTCTCAAATTGTGCGACAAGAGACTGTTCCTGGCAAGGTCCACAATTTAGTCACCTCAGCTACCCAGCAGTATAACCCTCAGCCAGTTGCTTAGCCTCTTTGAACTTCAGTCTCCTCCTCTATGAAATAGGAAATATAAAAGCACTACCTCTTGGACCAGCAGGTAGAGTGGAGGTGAAGGCAGCTGGATCCCACAAGTCAACTGTGAAGTCCAAGTTCTGAATCCTGCATCTTGAAAATTACTCCTGGTTGGGGTCAGTAGGTGGCATAGTGGTTAAGGCACTGGATTTCCATACAGCAGACAGAGTTCATTGGTCCAGACAGGACTGGATACCTATCCTTGCCCAAGAAGCTGTAGGCAAGGGCAGAAGATGTCACTCAGGAGAAACAAAGTTGTGGAGGGAAGGGGTCAGGGAAGGGAGCACAGGACATCCCATACACACCAGAACTACCTGAGATCATGTTGATAAAAGAGCCCTGCACCCAGCAGGACGTCCTCCGTGACCATCCCATAGTCTACTTTGCTGATCTTTCCCTCCCTCTATGATCCCTAGAGGAGGGCACCCCACGGAGCAGGCAGTGGCTCAGAAGTAATACAACTGGAGCCTCATGAGGAAGGTCCTTAGTCCATGTCCTGGGACCTTCCTGAGCATGCTGGGTCTGTGCACACGCCCACGATCTGGGCTGGCTGAGAGGGGAGATAGATCACAGCATGAAGAATCTGTTGGGGGCTGTCTTTCTCTTTCCCCCTCTCATGGAAGAAATAGATAAAGTTTAAGAATAAAAGGGGGGACAGCAAGGTGGCGTGGTGGTGAAGGCAGCTGGATCCCATGTGGTTGACAGCATAGTTCAAGTGCCTGACCCAATGACTTAAGAAACACATCATGTCCACATGTGTGCATGCCCAAAATCCTAAGAGGAGAGTGGAGGAGAAGGGGTTGGGGCATGGTTATTTCCTGGGGAGTGCTTTCACAATCTCTCTCTTTCTCTCCCCTCTACCACCTCTCCCTTCAATGAGCACACATGCCCTATAGCAATGTTTTTTTAAATAAATAAATAAATAAGAGGGTACTCGTGCTTTTACTTCTAAACTCCATCCTCTACTCTCCCTAATTCTTCCCTTGGTAAACTTATCTCTTCCTAGCACTTCAACCACTGCCTTTCTTCTGATAGCACTCTTATGCTGAGTCTTGTTAGGTGCTATGGACAGAAGTCTGACTACTTTTCCTATTTTTCCAAAATCTTTTCAAAAGGGCCTGGGGAAGCCATACCACAAACATTAACAGACCATTTATTTTCTATTAACAGAATTCTTCCTACCTCCTGTTCCTGGCATAGTATCTTTGAGATGTATATTTCAACCGATTACAGTATATTCTTGTGCTTATCTCTTCCCAAGACACAGAACTTCCCTTTTCCTTGAGATGTAGATTAAGCCTTTCTTTAACTAAGACACAGATCTTCCCTTCCAATCACCAACCTAAGAATTGTGGAACCCACCTATAACCTACAAGCCCCCCCTATACCCTACAAGCCCCCCCCCCTTCTATATGTCCCGTCTTTTTGGGCCAGACCAATGGAAAAATCTTTTCACTTAATGTTGTCTGTCAATCTCAAAAACAAATAAAAGGAACCCCCCACACACACACATGATCACCCTGAGAAAGGCATGTATGCCTTTTCTCCGGGCCTAGGTCACTCACAGTTGGCTTGGAAATAAACCACATTGAGTATTAATTATTAATTTTACAGTTGGTTATTTTTTCTGTCGACATTGCAGATAAATTACTTTCTCTCCTGGGTCCACAGCAACTTCCTGAAAATAACACCTGTCTCTTCTTCTGTAAAAGACCCTTTTAGTTCTAACACTCCATAATTCTTTTTGTTTGTTTTTTGGAGAGATTTTTGCTATAGGGCGCTTGCGCTCACCAGAAAGACATAGAGACAGAAAGTGAGAAATCCCCCCCCCCCCGGGGGGGAAGGTTAGAACGCAAAACCCTATCCCACACACACCCTTGGGCATGCACACATACGAGCCTGGTGTGAGTTTAAGCCACCAGGTCTGAGACTTGAACCTCAGTCAACTGCATTGGAGTCCAGCGACATAGCCATTATGCCAACTGCTGGACCCTAACACTCCATAATTCTATGAACCACTCTACCACCATGCCTTCAGAATTCCTACCCCTGTGCCTTTCTACATATGGTTTGTTTTGTTTTGCCCAGAGACCCTCCCCTGTCCCATATCTCGGCTTTCATATCACGTATATTGAGTACCTGATTTATGTATGTATGTATGTATGTATGTATGTATGTATTTATATGCTAGAGGGCACGTGTACTTGCAGGAGACAGACTTGGTCTGAGAGAGAGAGAGGGAAAGTGAGAAAGCACCTCCATGGGGGGTGGGGGTCACGCCACAATCCCTTCTCCTTCATTCTCTTCTCAGGATTTGGGGCACACATTCTCATATGCCTGCGGTAATTCTCAAGCTACCAGGTCCGGGACTTGAATCTTGTTTGACCACATGGGAGTCCAGTACTTTAACCACCACACTACCTGCTGGCCCTAGTCCCCAGTTACTTTTCTTTTCTCTCGTTAGGTTTTTGCCATAGGGTGCATGTGCTCGGCCAGAGAGAGATAGTGAGAGGGAAAGCGAGAAATCACTTCCCAGGGAGAATGGCCGTACTGCAATATCTTCTTCTCCACTGTCTTCCTGGAATTTTGGGCACACACGCATACATACCTGGTGTGATTTTCAAGTTGCTGTGTTCAGGACTCGAATCTTGTTAAGCCATGTAGGAGTCCAACACTTTAATCATCCTATCACCTGCTGGCCCCAGTCCCCTGCTATTTTAATAGATGCTTCTCGGTGTTCTCCTGGGTTCACAAGTCCTCCTGCCCTGGGAATCACTTCCTTTCCCTCATCCTTCAATCATACACTAGAATGGGTCACTTCAGCCACATCTGTATTATCTGACCCTGTTCTCCTGGCCACAGATTTTAAATCCAGGAAGAACACGTGTTAACCAGCTTAATAAGATTATCTCTGCCAGGAACTTGGGATTTGAAACTGAGAGGTGCAGAACTTGGGGGGCCTTGGAGCTCAGTTCCCTTAATGCCAGCACTGTAGAAAGGCGGGTTCATCAGCTCCCTGCGCAGAATCCCAGGAGAGCCCCTGATTCCTACTCTTCCTAGCCTGTGCTCACTGATTCCCTGGAGCCCATGGGAGATCTTGGCAGCTTTTCAAAATAATTTTCTTCCCCTTTAAGATGGCCCATGTCCTTTACTAATGCTTTCAGCCAAATAAGAGGAACCAAACAATCATGTCTGAGACACTCTGGGCTCTGATGATACAAAAATCAAGTAAAAGGATATTCCTGTTCTCCAGCAACATCCATTGAAATCCTAACCGTGTTTGTTAATTAGTTTTAAAGTTTGTTTGTTTGTTTCTTTGACAGAGAGAGAAAGAGGAGGGAGAAAGCACCCCCCAATCAGGCATAGTAATGCCACAATCCCTTCTCCTCCACTTCCCCACCCTGTTGGAATTTCAGACACATATGTTTCTCAAGCCACCAGATCAAGGACTTGAACCACACGGTTGACTATATGGGATCCAGCCACTTTAGTCACCAGGCCACAGAACCAACCTCGCCCTACTTATTTTTATTTATGATGGAGAGTATGTGCATTTGCATGAGAGAAAGAGAGCAGCCATCAACAGGGTCTCTTCACACCAAGATCCCCTTCCCACAGTCCTCCAGCTAGATCTTGGGCAAGCACACAGATGCCTGGCATATTTGAGAGCATAGCCAACCGGGAGATCCAAACCTGTGGTCGCCATGTGGCTTCCGGCACTGCGGTTTTGTTTGCTACTAACTATACCACCAGGCTGGGCCCTGAACTCCTACCAGTGTTGAGAATCAGAACTTAGAAGCCCCATTCCTTATTTTTTTTATCATAGTCCTCAAATATGATTAATCCCTCTCCATTGTATTGCCACTGCATTTTAATTTAATTTAATTTTGTTTTGTTTGCTATAGGGTATGTGCATTCACTAGAGAGAGAGAAAAGGAAAGTGAGATAGCACCCCCTGGGGGTGGTGGTGAGGATGGCCACGTATTACACACTGGTGCCTTTTCTCAGCGACATTCAGCTCTCTAAGGCAGGACCTCTGACTTTCCTTTCCCCTAGGCTGTTTCCTCCAGGCCTGACTCTGTGGCTTTACACAGGACTTGGAGCCTTTGAATCCTAGCTATGCCACTTGGCACCTGTGTGACTCCGTTAGGCTCTATTTGCCCATCTCTAAAATGGGGGTGATGATGATGACAATCTTTGCGTGAAGCTGTTATGGAATTAAACAAGCAACTGCATGCCAGAGTGCTTAGAATAGTTCCTGGCAGAAAGGGAGGGCTCATAAGTGGGGGGCTGTTACCCTCCTCTTT